AGCCAGTGAGATTTGAACAGCCGAACTGCAGAACTGCAGTCAGCTGAAGTAGCCTGCAGTGCTGCATTTAACCACTGCGCCACCTCGGCTCTAAAAAGATCTCTTTCAGGAAAATACAAAACAACACTTAAATTCATCCCCACACAACCATTCGACCCTCTTGGACATACCTGCTTCCCCTTCCTTTCGGCCTCTTGCTGCCTGATAAGGAAGGCCTCTGCCAGGGGCACCGCTTGGGCACAGGACTCCGGGCCGTGTTCTCTCACCCAGCTCTGGATCTCCTGGGGCAGAAGGATCAGGAACTGCTCCAGCACTAGAAGGTCTAGCATCTGCTCCTTGGTGTGCTTCTCCGGCTTCAGCCACCCTCGGCAGAGTTCCCGAAGCTGGCTGCACACCTCCCGAGGCCCCCGGGCTTCGTGGTAGCGGAACTGCCGGAAGCGTTGCCGTTGCGCCTCCATCCGGAGGGCGTCCTCTTTCAAGATGGCCGCCTTGACTTTGGCATATTCGCCTCGGTCCTGGAGGCTGAGGCTACTGTAGGCCTCCTTGGCTTCCCTGCCCAACACGGGCACCAGGCGAGCCAGCCATTCCCGGCGGGGCAGCTGGCAGGTTCCAGCCAGGCGTTCAAAGGAGGCGAAGAAGGCTTTGTTGTCCCCCCACGGGGCGGGTCCCTCGGCCAGCTGCTGGTGTCCCTCCCCTAGAGGAGAGGACCGGAGCGCAGCGAGGAACTCCTGCCACTGGGCTTCCCAAGCTTCGGGCAAGTCCTCCCTGGGCTCCTGCTTCATTTGCCGTGGGGTGGCCCAATTCAGGAGCTCTCGAATGGTGCCCACTTGAAGGACCCGAGGCAGTTTACCCGCACGGTCCGTTCCCTCTGCCCCTTGGGGGCTGACGCTTTGACGCTCTTCCACTTTGACCCCTCTGTGTCTTGGGATGCCATCGGCTCTTCTGGCCCTCTGTTCAGCCGCCATGGCCTTTCAAAAAGCAGGCCTCGCTGACCACAAAATTTGCAATTTGCGCCGCGGTGGCGCAGTGGTTAAGAGTGCAGTACTGCAGGATACTTCTGCGGATCACCGGCTGCCAGCAGTTTGGCAAT